AAGTTATAGGAGACTCCTGATGTTTGGGGGCTAGTAACGGTAGCATTAATAGGAGAACATATGTATTTCGTGAGTTTTACTGATGATTACTTAAGGAAGGTTTAGGTGTACTTTATGTTGCATAAGTCAGATATGTTTGCCAAGTACAAGTTGTGGAAAGCTGAAGTAGAAAACCAAACATCAAGGAAGATTAAATACTTTAGGTCAGAAATGGTACCAAGTACACAGATTCAAAGTTCATGGAATTTTGTGAGCATCATGAGATTAAGAGACATTTTACAATACGCAAGATACCATAATAGAATGGTGTGTCGTAGGTTGACAGATGGGCTTGCAAAGAACTTCTAGACGAATGTGCAAGTATGGAATGTTTCTTGATTAACAGGTCACCTAGATAGCACAAGATGAAAAGGTAGAAGAGGAGGTATGGACAAGTAGTGTGGTAGGCTAATCTGGTTCGAGAATGTTTTGGGTATACCGCCTGCATGCATGTTTCTAGTTAGAAGAGATTGGAGTCTGATTCGAATTCTAGATAGTGTATCTTTCTAGGGCATGAGAAATGGGTGAAAGGGCTTAAACACTGGGATCCAAAGGCAAATAAGGTAGTGATCAATAGAGACGTAGTTTTGATGTGAAATTCATGTTGCAACGTACTTAGGGAGAAGAAAAGCAAGTGCTATAAAATTGTAGCATGTAGTGGAACTGGAGACCCATGCTAGATAGGACAATGTACAAAATGTAGAGAGTTCTAGGTCGGGAGATTAGGAACATCTTAGTAGCTACAGACACGTCCAAACGCACCATTAGGGCACCCACCAGTATGATTTTGAAATTTTAGTTTCTTATGTACTTATTACCAGTAGTGGGATCCTACTACATTTTAGGAATATGTACACAACCAAGATAATAGTAGATGGATGGTTGCTATGATGGAAGAGATGAAGTCTCTACATAAGAACTAGACTTGGGAATCGGTGGAGATTCCAAATAGAAAGAGGGCAATAGGATACAAATTGGTATATAAGAAGAAAAAAGTAGTATCGGAAAAAGAGGAGGCAAGTTCAAGGCTCGGTGGTATCAAATGGTTATTTACATAGGTAAGAGGCCGACTATGATGAGATTTTCTCCCCTATCGTTAGACACTTCAATCAGAGGAGTGTTGGCTTTAGTTTCACATTTGGACATGCAATTGGAGAAGATGGATGTAAAGACAACTTTTTTTAATGGTGATTTTGAAGAGCAAATTTACATGCAGCCGCCAGAAGGTTCAATCAGCTTGGAGAGGAGCACTAGGTTTTTAAATCGAGATCACTTTATGGGCTGAAATAGTTTTCGCAAGCAGTGGTACAAATGATTTGACTCTTACATGATCTCGATTGACTACATGAGATGTAAGTTTGATTGTTGCAATTATGTAATGAGCTTTGCAAATGGACCTTTATGAGCTTATAAAATATCTTTTAGGCCATGGCCAATACCCGAGTTAGCCCTATACTATTACATGAACCCGATTCGCTACATAAGATGTAAGTGTGATTGTTGCATTTATGTAATGAGCCTTGACGGTGGTTCATTTTTTCTAACTTTTACATTATGTGGATGATATATTGATTGCTACGATGAGTATGAGTGAGGTCAAGAAATTGAAGACTTTGTTTACAAGGGAACTTGACATAAAGGAATTGGGTGCGACCAAGAAGATTCTTGGGATGGAGATTCACATGGATAGAGATTCCAGGATATTATGGTTATCTCAATGTAGTTATATTGAGGTGTTAGAGAGGTTCAGCATGAGTAATGTAAAACAAGTGACTACACCTTTATCAAATCATTTTAGTTTATCTACCACTCAGTGCTCTCAGATGCTAAAAATAAAGACATGTCAAGGGTTCCATATGCTAGTGCAGTAAGGAATCTACAGCATGTTATGGTTTGTACAATATCAAATTTGGTAGAAGTTGTTGTGTGGTGAGCAAGTCTTTGGCAAGTCCAGGACAACAACATTGGGATGCAGTCAATTGGATTTTCAGATACTTGAAAGATACTAGAGACTATGGCATCTTGTTTAGCAAGCAACAAGATGATCCTTCATTGTGAGATATGTGGATGCAGATTATGTAAGAGATTTAGATAACATGAGATCAATTACCAGTTATGTATTCACTCTTGTAGGGGACCTATTTGTTGGAGGTCCAGGATTCAGTCTCTAGTTGTACTATGCAGACTGAGGCAGAGTATGTGGTAGGAGATGGGGCTGCCAATGAGAAGAGCTAGGTATTCAACAAAGTGGAGCTCAATTGCAATGTGACTGTCAGATTGTCATTTATTTGGCGAAGAACCGAGTGTATCATGCAAGGATTAAGCATATACATATATGAGGTTTCACATGATCAAGAAATCTGTTTCTTCCGGTGAATTGTTGCTTGAGAAATTTCACACTTCTGATAATACAACAAAGCATGCTGACAAAGCATGCTGCCACAAATAAGTTCAAGTACGCTTGGATTTAATTAACGTCTCCGGGTGCTGGAAAGGAGGCGTCCAAACCTATTAGTCATAATTGGAGTTCCCTAGAATATGTTTTCTCATTATTTATCCTGAGAAGTGGATAATCGTCGAGGTAGAGATTGGTGTAATATGTGGTTTATATAGAGTGAAACACATGTATACTGAAAAGTAGGTCGATGTCAGAGTGAAGTGAAGGGAGCAGACGAAGCACAACGAACAAAAAGGAATGGAACCATATTCTTTTTTAGTTTTCCTAAATATCTTATATGGGCTAGGGATATTATATATATGTTGTAACCCTACTATTTTCACATATAATAAAATCATATCCACTTCGCTCCCATAAATGTAGGCATGCTGCCAACCACATAAATTTGTGTGTTTTCTTTGTTTCTTTCTCTTTACTGATTCCATATTATTCATCATTATTGCCACACATAACACAAAATTGGGAAAGTAATTAATGGATGAATTCCTCTTAGAATTTTGTGGAGGTAAATTCAATATTAACCCTGTTTTATAATCTCTAGACAAAACATAATCTCTAAGGGAATCTGATTTCATATTTGCGTTCGAATATAATATGAACAGACATAGAGTGAACGAGAAAAAACAATGCCTGGCAATATATACATTTGATTGTTGGGATTTAGATGTAAAATACCACCATATTAATATGAATACTAATACATTGAAATTGGATCGATTGTCCACCGGTAGCAACTGAAATTCTTAAGAATGTGTTTAATATGAAATGGACAATACCTGTTTAGTACATTATCCTTGAAATCAACATAGTCGCGTACCTTCAAATCTTTTTCGATGTTCTTCAAGAATTCCAAAAATATTACACATTTTCTTTATAATTTTCTATCTTATAGGCACTAGAAAATTGAATAAAATTAAATTCTTCATAATGGCATCATTAATAAATAGAGAATAGGTAATAAATGGAAATTAAAAATAGAATAGGAAATGTTCCTTTTTAATTTTAAATATTTTTGTGCATTAATACTTCAATGATTAAAAAAAAAAAAAACCATTAAATGAATTTTACTTTGTGTGCTTTAATAGTTTAATGACGAATATAAAATACATATAAATGAAGTTTAACACTTTTATGATGAAAAAAAATGCATATAAATGAAGTTTACTTTGTGTACATTAAGGCCCTGTTTGATAGCCTAGAAAATTGGTGGAAAAGAAAATATTTTCCAACTTTCCATGTTTAGTAGTGTTTGATTACCACAATTTAACATGGAAAATTTCACTTTTATTTTCCCTCTATGCGCCTTCTTTCGTGCGTGGCAGGAAATGATTTTCCCACCTTTTAGGTGGGAAAATGAATTCTGGGTTCTGTCTGTCCTTTTTTTTTTTTTTTTTTTAGGAATTTTTTTCCTTTTTTTTAATCTTTCTGTCAATGGAAATAAATTTTATAACCAATTGTGAAAAAAATTATAACTTTAATAAATAATTTCCATGTAAAATAAAGTCAAACGAACACAAAATTTAAAAATTTTCCGGGTGGAAAATTATATTAATCAAACACACTTAATTAACAATTCCCTGTAAAATATTTTCTAGGCAATTATTTTCCCTGAAATTAATTTTCTTTCCACCCATTTTTCACAATTGCAATCAAATGGACCCTAATAGTTTAATGGAGAAAATAATACATATAAACTTTTAATTTGAATGATGGAATATAATGATATGATAATAAATTCATGTTTGGTAGAGATTTATTGAGAACAGATTTTGTGAAAAATGATTTTCGTGTAGAATTTGTGATTAAAAAGTAGGAAAAAACTTCCAAACAAGCTCTAAGTTTCATTTCATATGGTAAATTCTTCAACGGGGAAAACTTGTGCATGTAAGTAAATGACGTAGTTCGATTTAGAAACAACTTGCGGACATTGCCGGGGTGGCTTTTGTAAGAACTCGTAACTAGTTTTATGTTCACTGTCATCCTTCCTTTATACCAAAAAATAACAAATAGATACAAGCATTTATTTTGTCCATGGATATTTAAATAATAATGTGTGCGACTTATGCAATTTAATGCTCCCCGTCTCGTAAAGAAAACATTTTGTAGGAGTTCTACTAGTATCTTTTTGTCCGTTTACAACCAGCACAGCTACGTCATTGATTCTAGGACCAGATTGACGAGCGAGCAGGGATGATTCTAGGACCAGATTGATAAGCGAGCAAGGAAAAGAACGAGAAGACATACTTCCAATTATCTCTTTCCGTCGAACCGTTCATACCACTGGAAAAGAAAGTCTCACCATACGTTAGACGATCCACATTAAAACTGCCAAGCCAGATTTGCTAGGAAAGATAGACGAACAACATTTAGATATAAAGATTACAAACTTGAAACTATGTTAATGGAAACAATCCTCACAAATTTGCATTAAAGAAACAGACTAGATCCACATGAAATCTTTGAAACTCAATAGCCCAGCCAAGACACATTGGTTTGGTATCGTCTATTCGAAGGCCCACTGGTTCTCTCTTCGGACCTCCTCTTCCTCTTCGGGTGTAAAGTCATTCTTGATGCTGAATGTCTTCCGTATCTCCTCTGGTGTTTTTCCCTTGATCATGTCAGCGACGGTTTGACAAGTCAAATCCAGGAGAGACTTGATATTCAGGTAGTTAGCTGCCTGAAAAATTAAAGCAGAAAGGATAGATGATGTCATGAGACGCTCAAGTTTATAACTCAGCCACACGAATGCAATTGACAATTTTTTTACTCTTCATTTGTTCAAATACACTGCGAAGCAATTAATAGTTTAATTACCAGCAAGCTTGCTAACATAGTTATCCTTAAAAACACATTGACACGTATACCTTCGAGGTCTTATCCTGTACATCGTAATGCCCATATAATCAGAATGGTTCTATACAATTATAATAATTGGGTGCTAAATAGTACCCATGTCTTTCAATGCAAACAGTTAAGCTATTTTTATAAAAACATACTGTACCAGAACCGTAAAACAAAAATCAGCTTCAAAAGTCCAAAAGAGAGGACATCAAAAAATTCATGTAGTACTAGGTGAAAAAAATGATATACCCTACCCCAATTCTTGTAGAATCAACAGCATGTATGCTCATCATACTTCATAACTACCATTCAGAAAATAGTGTTAATCAGACTACTTAACCACTGCAATAAGAAGTGCAGCAGAGTATTGGAGTCTACTAGCCATGTCATTTAATTTTAATGTATATTTTTCCCACAAATCATTCCCGAAAATCCCAATTCAATAACACTAAGTTGCGACTTAGCTTGTTATTAATTGGTTCATGTTTTGAAGAAACATGATTGTACAGACAGGAGGCAGTTCAGCAGCTGGTACAATGTGGGCAGCTCTGCTCACACAGGTATGTACGCAATCGATGAATTAAAACAAATGAAGCACTTCCAAATTGCCAGAATGGTTGCAGATTAAGAAGGAACCTGTCATGGGAACTTGCACCACTTTGTGTGATGCTCTAAGATAGAAATCTAAAATCATATGTTAATGGTCAAAAACCTTCAATAAACCAGGTACATCATTGAAAGAATCTCTTTCACAAGTTTTAAAGCAGCACTGTTCAGGGTATATGAATATATTTTCTTTTTGAATATGTTAGTTCCCTCTTACTTTGTAACACAAACACATCCTCTGTACATTATGGAAATATACAACTAGATTTTGTTACTTGTTGGAAAGTTTAATCAAAGTACAAAACATCACTCGAAAAACTATTCTTAAGCTCGATTAACGGGATCATGCTAGCCTCACCACTTTAATTTATAACTATAAACTTGCTCCCTGGAAACAGCGTGGTATCTTTAAAGAAAAATCACAACTATACTTGCCGTGACCACTGTATAAATGATAAAACTAGTACATAATCGAGGTAAAAAAAGATAAGATGAATAATTCATAGAGATACATATCATTTAAACTCTTAACAATATTATACACGTGCAAAGAGTCGTATAAATACACGTCTTCATGCAAAATTTTGCGTCTTTTTTAGAGCTGAACAGAACTTGTTATTATTAGCAAAAACAGTGTCAATATCAGACTACTTTTACAGTGTTAAGGAGAGATTTAGAAAAAGCAACAATTTTACTTCAAGTAACAAGTTTGCCAGTATAGTTTACACCAATCAATAAAAACAAACGACCAAACAGCCGCATAGAAACACATAGCCAGATTCACAATCATCCTCTCTAGATCAACAATATATCATTAATTTCTTTCCTACTAAGAGTAATCAAGAACCCCTTAATAAATATATTCCCAACCAAAATGAACAAAGTATTAAATAAGGCTATCATAACTTCAAATACCAGCTGCAAAGCGCAAGCATGGTCTCAGAGCAGCATTATTTATTATTTTATTTACTTAACATATAAAGAACCCCTTAACACGTTTCATATAAAAATAGGGACACAATTCTACTCGATAAAAGCAAACAACGGTAATATTTATAAACAAAAATCACAAGTTCACAACCATAACAACAAGAATGATAATAGCAGCTGCTTTAAAAACATTCCAAACACATAGTTATCATACTCGTAAAATCATTGGTACAACAACCCAAACTAATAAAGCAGAAACACCAGCCCAGTATCCAAAACTATCAGACTAACAAAACCCTAATACACAATTCACAACCAAATAGAAATATATTTCAAGGATAAAATGACCAAACAATCAAAAGGAACAATAGCATCAACAATAGTAACAACAAAATGTAGAAGTATTACGTAACTAATAACATATACTATGAATAATTCTAGGTTATTTGCAGAAACAGCAACAGTGACAAACTGTCAATAATTATAGATATGATGTGACTATTAACATTTACAAAGCAGAATTTATAACCAAATTTATACATAATTCAAGAAGATAGCATCAATACAATGCAAATTGTTTGCATAACTAAAAATTATTATAGGTTATTTGCACAATTAGCAAGAATAAATAGTAGCCATAGTAACAAAATTAGAGTTATTCTTCTTGTACATCAAGTGCTACATAAGGGTGTCCATAATGGTCACCCGGCGCCCTTCCATTGGATGGAGTGTCGACGCCACCAACCATTCCTCCAATGAGGAGGCGCCGGGTGTCCTTTATGGATACCCTTATGTAACCTCCGATGTACCTGTAGTATCACTCACAAAATTACAACAACTACAGATATAATGTAAAAATTAAAATCTAAAACGAACTACGTATTGCCAAATCTAACAATAACCTAGAAAAATAGCATCAACACCAATATCAACAGCAATAAATAATTATAAAAAATAATTCAAATAATCTTCACAATTCAAATAACAAAAGCAAATAATTATATGTCTACCAGGATGAGGTCGAAGAGGGTGGCTTGGTCGACTTTGACGAAATCAGCGTCAAAGGCCTTGAGGTCATCATCATTGCTGGAAACCTTGTCATCGGCTTTGGCGGAGGCAGCGTCCACGTGCTTTTTACAGTACTCAATGATTTTGGACAGGATCTTGCCGGTGACGTTCGGTAGGGGGATAACGTTGTCGGCGCAGTCATCCTCAACCATGTGCTTAATCGTCTGAGACTCCAGCGCCACCACCTCCTCCACCTCGAAAACCTCTCCGTCGGAGCTCCGGAGAGTAACCTTCTTGCCAGCGATCTCCGCTCCTGAAGACGACATCGTTTCGTGCGTGTGAGAATAATTAGGTAACAGTGAAAATAATCTGAAGTGGATTTATTCGGGCAAAAAGTTGAGATGCCTTTTTATAAGGAAATGTATGAAAATTATAATTTGGGACTAAACCTTTTATTTTTGGTACAGCCATCTCTAAATTTATAAGGAGAGTGCTAGACGTACTCCATAGTATACTATATGCTGATGTGGCTGGGATTTGAAATGGTTGAAAATTCAACACAACAATAATTAAAAAAAAACCAATTAAAAGGGGCCAATTTCTTACCAACTCCCGTCATTTCCATTCGCTAGCCTCAAAGTGAAAAACCTCCCGGCGAAGATGGAGCAGCAAGAAAACTCAAACGTCGACGTCGTCGCCGACTTGGACAAGGGCGACCACACGTCGTCGAAGTCGGCAAACCCGTTATTCCCCCCCCTCACCACTCGCTGGCACTGAGATATTTTGTTACGAAGACGGCAACTCCCACGCCGACAACTGCGACGCCGGTGACAACATGGGTAAGATGTTTTCAATTTAATCTTCATTATATGGCCAGAAGCGGGAAGCTTAACTATTGGTGAAGGGTTGATTGTTTATTGTGTTGTGAAGTGGGCGGCTTAATCGGTGGTGAAGTGGGAGGTTTAACTGGGAGCTTAGGTGTGGCTTGGGGTGGGGTGGAGGTGCTGATGGTTGTTGCGGTGGGGTGCAAATGCTGGTGAGCGAGATAGGCAGTAGCAACAAAAGCACCAAAAGAGCTGGACTGTGGGTGATCGTTTACTGTAAATTTAAGACTTATTGTTTACTATAAATGTTCCTAAAACTATGCGTGTATTATAACATATTCTTGTTTAAGATGATAATTTTTTTCCTTCTTTTTGACTGAGAAAGGTGGAGTTTTTCTTCTTGTGAATAGAAATAAATGTTAAACAGAGAATTTTAAGGGAGTTTGATATCACATTTCAAGTATTATTTATATCCCTGACAAATGCTCAAAGGCTAAGAGATATTTGGCATAGACTAAGGAGACTATTTGGCCATTTTTCAATTTTGGTCCAGATTGCTTTTACAATTATTTTTGTATCCCATTACTTCCATTTCAATCTCGAAGAACTGATGGTTGGATACAACTTTTGAGCATTTCAGCATTGAGGTGAATTGATTTTTACATTTTTGTTTTACTTCCATTAAATTTTTTGCTACAGTTTCAAAGTGCCGATTTCTGCTCTTCATCCTGATTTCAGAGTGCTGCAAAAGTGAAAAGTGCAAATTCCAATTCCAATTCTCAAATATTCGTTGCAGTTTCTGGTCTTCATTGGTTCATCAGTTCATTCCATTTGGCCGATTTGGGTGAGCTTATAAGGCATAAACAGGCTATTAGGCTCAAATCTACTTGTTATTCATATTCTCATCCTTTCAAAATTGTGGCACCTGTCTTTAACTATAACTAGCAGAAGAGAGTTTAATGGCTATGTGAAATGTGATATTGAGTAAAAGGTGAAATGTTATTCAAAAAGGAGATTATCACGTGATTTTGGGTTGCAGACTTGCACTGTCAGCTGCTGTTTTTCTTTTTTGACTAAGACAGTGCCATGTCAACAGGAAATAAACAATTCGAGAGTATGGTGTAGTACATACAGCTTTTTCCAATTTATAATACACAAGGACCCCTACTGCAAATTTTCTTATAACTTACATATTTTATTACTTATAATAAATGCTAATAAATACTATTTTTCTAAAATTTAAAAGTTAAGAAATATTTTAATATAAATTAAATACCCTACTTGGTAGAAATTTTTTTTTTAGAATAGATTTTGTAAAAAGTAGTTTTTTTTTTTTTTATAATATGTGGTTTAAAAATAAGAAAAAATTATAGATCATGAGCGAAATCATTTCATCAAAAAAATATATGATTGAAAATAAATTTCAGAAAATGAGGGCCAAACAGCACCTGTTTGATTTATATGAAAATTAGTATTTTATTAAATTTTAATAAAAGTTGATAAAATGTATAGTTAAAAAGTTGTAAGTCCCATGAAATATGTGATTAAAATTCATTATTGACTTTTACTTAAATTTTAAATAATTTTTAGCTGAAAAGTGAAGTAGATAGTACTTGACTTATGTGTCTTGATCAAGTATTTTCTTATGTCAAAAATTGTTGTGGAATCTAAGACACTACATACATTCTTTCTACACTTGTGACACATTCTTTTTTTTTTTAATCGGTAATGTGAAATATATAGATCAGAAATTATGTACAAGTGCACAGGGCATTCTTGGGCAACCAAAGATCATACAATTATAAGTACTCCGGGAATACTTCGAGCAAGCAAAGTGAGAATATGTACAAACGATTAGATCTAATGACATAGCGTCATAAACTCAATATGAATTAAAACAAAAGATACAAAGAAAACATAACTTTGTATACATGTATTTTAATCTGTCTAACAATGCTATCTTCGTGCGTTTAAGATCTTCAAAAATATTTCTATTCTGTGTCATCCATAAGTGATAAACTATACTAGCTAGAGCAATTCTCATAACCTTACTTTGCCAAGATGTCCATCGGGCCTCCTTTTTAATCCACTTCAATGTATTCAGTAATGTAGACATAGATCGCCTAATGCCAGCAACACACGAACCTTTTCCAAAACGGAAGCACTAAATTGACATGTGAAGAAAAGGTGTTGTACCGTCTCAATCCCAATTCCACAAAAACAGAATTTTTGGTCTATTTCCAAGTGCATAAGTTTGTATTGGTAAGCAACTTTGACTTAGCTCCAAACCACAAGATAAAAGCATGTTTTGGGTGATGGAAGCATTCCAAACAGTTGCTGCCCATGCTGTCTTTAGCCCCTTCAACCGGAAATAATCATACGCAGCCGCAATATTAAAGCTGCCTGAGACAACCTATTTCTCTAGCTTGGGTGCGTTTAGACTGCTTGTCAGTTTGTGTCTGTCTACCTGTTTGCCCATCTCCATTTGCCTACAAGTGTTGAGGTTGTGACTGGCCACATAATTCCAACAACTTTTTGATCAACGGAGAATCATTTTTCCTTGCCGTATACTCCCAAACATCCGTCCCATGCAACAAAAAAAAAAAAATTTGGTTCACTCACCTAACCCAAAGAGTGTCCTTACTATAAATGTACCAAAAGGTTTTAGCAAGTAATGCCTAGTTCCAATATTTAATATCTCTAAATCCAAGTCCACCCTCGTGTTTGGGTAAGCAACCAATGGCTTCTTAGAATCCCAAAAGAAGTTATGACAAATAGTAACAATCTTTGAAACAATCGTGGCCGGAATAGGTAGAATAGAAAGCCAAAATATTCAACACCTTGAATGACAACTCTCACAAGTTTTGCTCTCCCCGCATAAGACAAGGATACCATAGACCATGCTCCAATATAGGCTGAGATTTTGTTTATAAAGGAGTCATAAGAGCTTACTTTCAATCTTTCCATTACAAGTGGTATTCCCAAGTAACGAAATGGCATAGAACCCTTGGCCACATTAGTTACTTGGTGAATGTCCTCCAACATTTGTCCATGAATGCCTGCCATATACAAAATAGACTTGTTCACATTCATCCTAAGTCACGACATGTCTCCAAAGTTAGATAGGCACTCCATCAAGATACAACCGAAATAATATCCCCCCTTACAAATAACATCAAGTCATTCGCAAATGCTAAGTGAGTGATCTTCAATTGGCCACATTTGGGATGATAGTTAAAATCACTCTCCTCGGTAGCTCCCTTAAGCATTCTTGAAACATATTCAAGGCAAATAACGAACAAAAATGGTGATAACAGGTCACCTTGACGAAAACCCCTCATTTCCTTAAAAAATCCATAAAGGCCCCTATTAAGCACAAGGGAATAAGTAGGCGTAGTAATACATTCCACAACCCATCCAATAAACTTTGTGGGAAAACCAAGTCAGACAATCACACTCTTAAGAGAATTCCAATTAATCGAATCATATGTCTTCCTAAGATCAACTTTTAGAAGGCACCTAGGAGCAACCATTTTGCGGTTGTATTGCCTTAGAGGAACTTGGGCAAGATGAATGTTCTCCATCATACTTCTATGAAACGAATTGATTCTTGAACAATCACTTTATTAAAACGTAAAAGTTTTCAAAAGAAAGAGAAAATTAAGAACAACAAATTTAAACTTGAAATCTTCAAAACCAAAATAATGTGATTGTCAAAACATTAGTAAATTGTAACATGACATTATTAAAATATTTTATTAGCCACCGTTGCATGCTCGCACAATCTTCACCCGTCTCGAATCACTGATTAATTTTTACCTATAAAAAAATTCATGTTTCATATGAGATGATGATCTCATAAGTGAAATAATGTAACATGAAAAATAAATGTCCATGAGATTCGTAAACATACTTTATGAGGCACGAAATTATAAGAACCGAATTTCGTGGTTCTAATTCCATGCGTAGCACTACTAAACTCCATGATTACATAACATGATCATAATATCGACTTCTGTAACTTTTCCCAATCTAAAAGACCAACTCGTGGTCGTTAAGAATGCGAAGGGGCCATCCTTCGTTGAGAGGAAGATGAAAGAACTATTTGAAAGGTAGGAGCTCTAGTTTAACATACACATTCAGTTAAAGAAGGAAAGCTTGGCTCTAATAAGCCTCCTCCACTACAGATACAACAGAATGCTGCTAGTTGGAAGTGAGTTTTCTTGCTTTGGAAAGAAAGTCATTCAGTGAATCTGATTATCGTATTAGCACGTAGGAGAATTGCGCTTTTGAAAAAATGTTCGTGTTTGTTTGTCGGGAAATATATATATATATATATCACACACACACACATAGAGACATATATACCATAAATGTTGGTTAATCTGAATTCGCATCTATAGTCCCTCAAATATGGATGGGTATGAAACTGGCCCCTAAACTTTCACCGACGTGCGATATTATCCCTAAATTATAGTTGATGTGTAAATTTGTCCCTGAACCTTATTCTCTATATAAATTGGTCCTTAAACTATGGTTATCAAGCAACTTGGTCCCTATACTTGTGTTAATGACAAGTAGAGAATTTTAGTTTATTATAATCTACCCATTTAAAAAAAAAAAAATCTTTCTCGAAAATTACCTCAGTTGTCTTCGTCAAATAGTCAGGGATATTTGGTTCGCATTTCATCGTTGTGTTCCCAAGTTACTTCTTCAATTGAATGATGTTGCCATAATACCTTGACCAATGATATTTCTTTGTTGCGAAGCTTTTTTATCTTCTGGGCTATAACAT